AAAAAAAAGAGTTTCACAGTCTGCAAAGTTGAAAAGAAAGTCACCAGGTGAGAAAGGCTGTTGCAAAGTCATGACTGTGAAAACCATTTTCTTGTCACGTAAGTGGCTGGATACATTAAACTATAGCAAGGAATGTCATGCCCCTTAGCTCCTGGAGGCTGATTTGACAGATTCCAACTCTAGGCTGTAGCATAAAAGTGAACTATAATTCAAAGGGTACTCCAGGAATGAAAATTCAGAAACATTAGGGCTAAAAGAAAACACCAGAGGGTGCCATTGAGCAGCAGAAGAAACATGAAATGTGTGAATCTGTGGATATGCGTTTGAGCATAACAGACTTGAATTCTATTAAGAAACCATGAAGAAACTAGAGAAGAGTGAGGCTTGGGAAGGTCCCTGCACATCTCAGTTCACGGGAGTTCTTCCTCTGAATACCTGGGGTTTAAAGCTGCCATTTGGCTGTGTCTAGTCCTGCCACCTCACAGCTGCATTCCTTGGTGAGACCCATCTCTCCCAGCAATTACAGGGTCGAATTCAGCTCTGCCTCTCTGTGAGGTCCCAGTCAGTGGCCTGGCATAGAGCAGTACAGTCTCCTAACCACTGCATCCAAACTTAGCTTCCTTAGAAGATACACCTCCTTGAAGAGGCCAGTTCTCACTGTGGAGGTTATCCACCTCAGAACTCCCCCCGACCCCACCTCTGTGTGGCAATAGCCCTATAGAACATGGCAGCAGGGGACCACAAGCTTCAGTGAGCAGCATCGGATGAAGGAGTGTGTCTTGAGAGCGGGGACTGCTGAGCAGGTGGTAGGTCAGTTGCCTTTTTCTACCAGCACAAGACTGCCCAAATAAGGCGGCCAGGGAGGTGTAGAGATGATGATGGGGGTGTCATGTACACGGAAGTGAGAGGCAAAGGAAGGGATGCTTCCTGCCACGGCTGACGCCAGTGTTCGATATGTCTGATCAAATTGCAGATTACACTAGGAAACTCACCCCATTCTAACCTGAGCATTCAAACGCCAAAGGTTGTTAAAGCTGGACCTCACTAAGGGTAGGAGAAGGATGAGGGAGAGAGAAGGGACCCAGTCCTCCCTCAAGGTCACTGTCTCTTGTTTTGAATGAGTAGGACTGTGGCATTCATAATACTGGGTTTACTGTTTCAGATGGGGAAGAGCTAGAAGGACTCAGAGGCGGTAGTCCATCTTTTTATTTTTAGTTGAGGACAGGGAGACACAGGAAGTGCTGTCTCTTGGTCCAAGGCCATAGAGGAGGCAGAAGAGTTGGAGCCAGAAACCAAGTGTCCTGGCTTTCGGTTCGTTGCTCTCTTGATTTGTCCAAGACGACCTTCTTCTGCCTCCAAAGGCCAGAGCTTGATTTCCCCTTCTTGAACCCTAAAGACAGAACTTCAGCAACTCTTGTGGGGAAGGCTCAGCGGCTGCCCTGGGCAATGTCTACCCAGGTGACCCTCCTCGCTTCCCCGTGGGAGAGCAGAGGGCGGCCTGGGAGGACTCCATCAGGATGACAGACGGATCTGAAGGCAGAGATGCCTGACTTGGGGTTCATTCCCCAGTCTTCAATGATCTCAGCTGTGACTGAAATTCCCCACACCCAAAGTTTTCCAAAACAAAACTTCATCAGGGAGCAGCAGCACATTCCACCAGGGGGAGCTCTGAGTTCAGGCTGCTTCTCTCTCAGAGGAAGGGGAAGCTGCAGCCATTACCACTCCAGGTCCACTTCTCCCTGGCTCTGACCTTCCTCAGGCTGTCCAGACCAGCAACAAATGCAGACCCCAAGCAGGGGCTGGGTCACGGGGCTCACTAACATATCCTGTGATTCATTCAGTCGACAAACCCTGACTGACCTCTGTGTGTCAGCCCTAGGGACACAAAGATGATGAAAACACAGTCCCTACCCCCAATTGCTCACAAAAGCACCATGGGCAGGTGCTGCCTGAGAGGCATGAGAAGGTGCCGTGGTGCGACTCACCTCACTATGGTGTTGGAACCCCCTTTGTGGTAGTAGAGAGAGTTGTTGTAAACCACGTGCCCACAGCCATGGAAATAATACGGAAGGTGGATGAACGTGTAACTGCCATTCAGAAGTGAGTGCTGGTCCTTGAATTCCTTCACCATGATGCCTGTAGGAGGGAAGCCAGGGAGAGGCCGTTACCTACCTCCAGCAATCACAGCTTGGGAGGGAGTCCTTGGGAGGAATTTCAAAGGAGGGAAGTTGAGAGTGAAGTGTTCCCTAAGGTCCCTTCTCCAGTGTGAAGAGTCTAAGACTCCCCAGCTGAAAGTCCAGCTCTCCATATGGATTTCTGAAATGTCTTTCAAATGTGGTAGGCATCGAATTGGCCTGACTCCCGGAAGAACTATGTATCACCCTCTCCCACCCCACTCTATACTGTTTATCTCTTTCTATGAGAGTGGTGTAGGCCTTCACCAGGAATAGCAGATACTTGGCGCTTGGACAGTCACCTCTTGCCTCCTCCCACCTCTTCCTGCACTGTGCAGCAGCCACTACTAATGCACAACATTACTTTCTTTTTGAGTCCCCAAATCCTGGTAATCTGGGCAGTTACTACCAGCTTCCCCGTTTAATAACTGGCCTTGATAAAACAAAGAAGTGATTTCTTCTCAGCTATTTCTCCAACCAGTGAGTATGGTCAGACCCCTTCTTTAATGAGGCCACTGTTACTACCACCAGCAATTCCTGACCACCTGTCTTTGGGACAGTACAACTAGGGTCCTGCTCAGATGCAGTGTAACTGCAAGGTGGACCTTCACCTTCTCCCTGGGCTCTCTGTCCCACAGGTGGCTGGGAAAGATGTCCAAAAGTACTCTTCTGGGAGAGGGAGCAACCTTAGAGAAAGATGGGTGGTCCACAAGGATTTTGTCTTTGATATTTTTTTCCCATTACGGTTTGGAGGTTTATGAGGCCTGCAGTCATAATGCTATTTGTTTCCTTCTGGATACTTGTCCTAAAACAGGCGATCTCTGGGTTACCCTCGTCATGCTCCTGTGACCTGAACTTCAAAGCTTGCCACCAGCATGTTCAAAGGAAGAAAGTTTTCTGCCCACTCATTGGTCTTTCTAAAATAAAGAGACATTTATCACACCAGCTACTGAGGATTTCAGACACACGCAAATGGAATACGCCCAAAGGTAGGCAACAGATGAAAAATACAGTTACCACACAGATATGGGTCATCGGCCGAGTGTAAGTACCTGAAAAATGCTCCGTCACCCAAATCCGGTCATCGCTCTTGTTAGCAGACTCTCTTATCCAAGTCCCAAATGTCTCTGTCACTTTCAGCACTTGCACTGGGTTTCCAATGGAAGTGATCATAGATTCTGCCAAAAGAAGAGAAAAGAAAGTCGCTTACCTGCCAATTATGACTTGAAGGCATTCAATTTCTGACTTTCAAGACAGGATGCTTTGTTTCCATACCTGCTTGTGGGGAATAGTGTTCACTGGCTTTCTCATCAGCTTTTCCAACCAAGGTATCATCATTTGGTATGGCACAGGTCTCACCTAAAATGACGACAATCATCAGAGCAAATACAGCTGGCACAGTGAGATTTGTTGGACTTTATAGCTGCTGCTCTTCCCCACCTCGTTCCAGACTCTAGTCTCATAAGCATCCCTTGCAATAGGTCACCAGATTCCTTGGTTGCTTGCTTTTAAGCAACTCCAAGTCATAGCCTTCCAAATTCTTCACCCTGCTTGTTGAACTCCCAAGAAGCTTTTCAGGAGTACAGTTGCTAAGATAATACAATCCCAAAAGGATGTCAGTAAAAGCAACAAAGTGGCCTGAGCCAGCCTGTTCAAGGCCTCAGCAGTTTGGGGGAAATGAGAGGCTTGCTGACGCCCTCCTGGCCCATCTGGCAGGTGGTATCACTATCATGATTGCATTGTTCTGGAAGGATTTTTCACTTTCAGGGAAGCTGGTGGAAGCTGTGAAATAGCAGCCCCAGAGAATGGGGTGGTCCACTTTATGCAGCATCTTCCTGGGAGAGGCATCAGGAGGGGAAATACAGATTTAGAGGAAGAAGTAATCTAGATTCCATCCAGCCCAGAGACAGAAGAGTCCCCTCATGACCATTTCCCCGCTGTCTCTGTCTAAGGGCCTACATGGGAGTCCCCTCATGACAATTTCCCCCACTGTCTCTGTGTAAGGGCGTAGAGAAACACAGGTCCTTGACAGGGGCCTGGTTCAAGTTGGCTTGAGGCTACAGCTGAGCTATGATTCATCCTCCTCGGCTTATCAGTGTTCCCCTTAAAGGGCTGAGTTTAGACCTTTGGTGAAGACGTGCCTTAGGGCAGCAGAAGCAAGGCTGAGAGAGAAGAGGGAGGAGGATGCGTGTGGCCAGGGTGAAGAGGACAGGACATGGACTGAACCGCAGGCCCACTCAAATCCTGAGGGTTTCAAATCACCCTGTGGTTGCTTGATGGAAAGGGTAATCTGAAGGGGCTCCCGACCCTCCATGATCGCTAAGCTTCCTTCCAGCTGGATAAGCCTGTGTTTCCCTGAAGTCCTTCTGTCACCTGATGAGAGCGGTCTCAGGGATCTGTTACAACTTCCCACGGGCAATCCTGCTGCCCCCAGGGTTTCAACTTGGGTTTCCACTTAGGGAACTACAGGGTATTAAAGACATAGAGTTGGAGCAGGAGAGAGGGCCAAGTTCAGACGCAAATGCCTGGCAACCAAAGACTCATTTCTAGGAGGCAGAGTGGAAGATAATGCCTTTCATTTAAAGTCATTTTCCTTACTCTGCATCCAGCCCCTGCCGATCCAGCTGCCTGGTAGATTAGGCTAAGCCCAGAGACTGCTTCTCTAGACAAGAGCTGCCACTGGCTGGCAGAGCCTGTGGCAAATTAGAATTCTGCAAAAGCTCTGGTCAGAGCCCCCTTCTCTCAGGGGAGGTCCCGCTCAGTTCATTCTTCAAGGGAAGCTGAGCAAAGGGCTGATGCTAATGGCTGGGGAGGCACTGCACAGTAGCCCAGCAGAGGAGCAGCTCTGCCATGGTCTCACGTTGCAGAATTACAATCAGGCTCTACTGAACTGGGGAGGGCGATGGTGCCATCTTCGAAAGCACAGATTCACCCACTCTGACAGCTGACTGTGTGCCCCCAAATGTCTTTCAGAAAGAACAGTGCACCAAACAGAACTCAAGACTGTTTAGGAAAATGACAGCAATGGCCACAGCAAGGCTGAGAAATTCCAGTGAGGATCCTCCTTATGAGTGCCATTGAGGAGATGGCCGCAAGTGGCCCTCGTCATAGTTTCAGTTAGGTGACAGATCCTAGGTCACCCTTTTTGGGGGAGAAGTCCTAGCATCACCCTAGAAGTATTTTCCATTAATATAATCCTTGATTTCCAGTTAGCTTTCAACCCTGTGGCCACTGTGCCACAAACTGGCTAAAGAACAAGTCCACCAGAGGTCAAGTATTCCTTGTTCTTGGTTGGCTTGACCTTGGGTCAGGTCTCAAAGTGTGAATTTCTATTTAAATGGAAGATGCCCTGAGAGCTGGGACTTTACAGTTAGGCAGAACTGAGTTTGAATCCTAGCTCCGCTATTTACTCCTGGAGCGAGTTCCTTAGCTCTTTGGGGTATCGGTTTTGTTATCTGTAAGTTGCACACAATAATGATTCTAATATCATAGGATTATTGTGAGAATTAAATAAACACATAGCCCTGTGCCTGGCTTAATGAAGCACTGTTGTTACTATTCGTGAGGACTTAACCAATCCAAACTTCCCCTTCATTTCCTGAGCATCAGTCAAGCTTCTCATTTCCCAAGAGTGCAAAAACAGCAGCTTAGCTTTCCAGACTGTTTCAGGGGGAAGGGATGGTGGACAGGGCAAGGAGGAGGACTGGGCTGCTGGTAAATGAAGGAAGCAGGAGGAGGGAAGGGAGTGGGAGGCCTAATTTTAATACTGTCCCTGGTCTTCAGCCCCGGGGCAGACTACGAAGACCTCCTGTGAGAAGGTTGCAAGAAGGGAACTCTCATTTTGGACAAAACCCTCCTCCCTCTATTAAAACAAATCTGGTCACAGAGCCTGGGGTCCAGACCAAGAGTTTGGAATAATTGACAGAGGAGGCGGGCCCCATGGGGGAGAGCTGCTGACCTGGGCACTGGCCGTTGAACATGTTTGGCTGCCGAGGGCCTTTGGCTCTTCTGCTTCCAGGGGGGCCTGGAGGACCTGGAGGGCCTGGGGGCCCAGGTGGACCGGGTGGGCCTTGGTCACCTTTGGCACCTGGAGACAGAGAGAGAAAGGAAGAGAAGGAGGGAGGAGGGAGAAGGAGGAAGGGGAGAGAGGGACAGAGAAGGGGAGAGAAGAAGAGAGAAAAGAGAGAGGGAAGGAAAGGGGAGGGAGGAAAGGAGGGAGGGAGG